GACAGGTGCTTAATTTATCACTAAGAGCATTAGTGACAAGGGTTTTATTAACGATTTAAATTTTGTCACTAATAATAATTTGTGATGAAAAATAATGATTTAATGACCAATAATTTAGTCACTAAAGGTGGATATTCTTGTAGTGAACCCGAGCATTAACCTCTTCCAAGGCGTCGATTAAGTAAGGTATAACCCCTTCTCCAAACTCATTATCTACATATATAGGGACGGCTTCTCTCCAGCCGAAGGCTTCAACAATAGCACTAATAGCTTTGACCTGAGAAGAGTCGTTTTGCGTTGCTCGTAGGAAGTATGGGCTCCGAATGGAGGTAAGAGAAGGACTTGTTGCGGAGAACGATATGATGGGTACTTGTGCTTTGTTTCCAAGATCTATTACGAAGTTTGCTTGCATTGAATTTTCTGTTCCTATGATTGCTTGCACTTCGACATTCTTAATCAAGTCCAGACCTGTTCATCAAAACAAAATTTTGAGTAGTTTTCACATGATATAAACTTTTAAGGAATATTTTAATGAGTATTTATGTTAAAAATTTATCTCTTACTCATTATTTGATATTAAAAAAAATAAAAAGTATGATTTGTTAATTATTATAGTTAGATAATATTTAATAATTATTAATAAAATCAATGATTATATAAATACATAATATTAATATCTTCATGAATTTTTTTTATAAAATATCAAAATACTATTTTTTTCCCTCGTGATCGTTAAGTAGTTTAGTTCAAAATTTTTTATTAGAAAAAATCAAATATTCAAATATTCTCTTTACAGCCATGATCCTGTTGAGCTTTGATTGAAGATCTTGCCGCTTTTAGGTTTTTCTGACTTTTGAAAAGTCAAGACTTCTTATTTGAATACATTGTTTAGCTTTCATAAGGAAAATAGAAACCACGGCTCCCTCAAACTTATAGGAATGTTGGTTTTAAGACCTTAAATTGAGCCCCTAAACTACATAAACTTGTCAGATTAGCCCTTACTAACGGTAAAACGTTCATTCACCGATTATTTTGTGCCACATGGGCTTTTGTTGGAAGCAAAATGGAATAATTGCAAATTTGACTCTGAACTTTAACATTTTCTTGAATTTTAGAGAATTTAACTTATCCAATCTAAAATAAATTAAACATTGAAAACCAAAAAAATAATCACTTATCCATGAAAAGCTTGTTCAAATTGTTTGGATTGGATTTGCTAGGGTTAGAATTTTGATTCAAATCAAGCCATTTATCATTTGGGACCCATAAAGGGTATTGATTTGAGGATTTGATCATCTCTATATATTGTTTTTAGGAATTGTGGATACATTGATGCAAGGTTTTTAAAACCGGACCGGACCGGCCGGTTGAACCGGTCGGACCGGTACCCGATGATAAAAATGGTTCGGTTCATATAAGAAAACCGTTTGAGGTCAAAACCGGTCAAAACCGGTAAAACAGGTAAAAACCAGTAAAAACCGATAAAAACCGATAAAACCGGTAAAAACCAGTAGAACCGATGGAACCAGAAAAACCACCGGTTCAATTTCTCATGCAATCTTCTTTCAATTTTTTCCAATTTCACCCTTCCCATTCCTTTCTTATACCCATTTTAACCTTTAACTTTAACAAAATTACAAAATTATCAACACCAAATAAAAAAATCCATGCCTATAGCTTGCTCCTCTCATCAAACCTTCCTTATTGTTTGAACCGACCGGTTCATCAGTTCAACCGGTTGAACCGATCAAACCAAAAACCAGACCTGAAAACGGTTCAATGACCGGTCCGGTTTTGAAAACATTGCATTGATATGGATTTCTATCAATTTAAAAAGATATATCCTTCCTCCATATTGGGTCTGGTTGCTATAATTTTCCTTTTTTGAATCTTACGTTAGTAGTGGGGGAAAACATAAGAAGTCAAATTGCATTGATTTTGATTAGTGTTTTTTTTTTTTTTATTATTATTCAATTTTCAACGAGATTCTTTTTTGGGTTGTTTGGGACCTCGTCAATAGAGAGACAAGAGGACAAGTAAGCTATTGGTGAAAATAATAAAGGGTTTTTTGTATTAATTTTTTTTTCTTTTTGACTTCTTAAGGTTTGATAGAAAATTAAGAAAAAATAAGGTTTTTGATGTCTTATTCTTGATTTCTTTTTTATTTGTAATCGATCCACTAAATGGGTATTTTAGTTTTTTAGGATTTCATTGTGTAATTTATTTTAGATTAGCTTGATAAACTTTTGTAAAATTTATGGACTTCTTTAAAAAAAATTTCAGAAGTGTTAGGGCAATTTTGTATTTATTCATTTTTCTTTAAACAAAAAGCAGTAGGCGAGAAATAAACGATGAATTAACGTTCTACCGTTAGTAAGGGGTCAATTTGACAAGTTTGTGTAGTTTAGGGGCTTAAATGAGGCATTTTTTAGTTCAAGAGCTTAAAATTAACATCCCTGTAAGTTTGAGGTCTGAAAGCTTTAATTAGCCTAAAAACCAGCTAGCAAAATCGGTTTGGACGGTAGTTTTTGCTATTTAGTTCTGATTTTGCTGATGAGTAAACGGCATGATGGAAAGTTTCAATCTGAACTAACAATTTTTTACTGCTTGGAACTCAAAAAATGGAAGAAATTACATTATATATTGTCAAACTCAAAAAATATCATTATTTTGTAACAAAAAATTTTAAGTTCATGTTCAAACCCATTAAAAAGAATGAGATCTTAAACTGAAATTATTTTCAAAAAATCTAATTCATATGTATTGTATTATGTGAGAAGGAATATATATTCACTAAAAATGAATGCAGAGAGGAAAAAGAGGAACAAAGAGAAGAAAGAAGCCGTACCGGCAGCAGCCGCCCCAACAACATCTCCCTTGGAATCCCTTATGTTTAAAACCAATCTGGTTGCGTAGTTACTGTGGTAGGAATAAAAGTCTTGCAGGGCCATGTTGATGCAACTCAGCCCCAGCTTCCCAACCCACATATCCATGTCAAGAACCACACCCACGTTTACTGGAATGGTGGCGGTAGCCGTTGTGTTTTGAGCCAATGCTACCTCGGCCAAGAGCAACCTGCAGAAAACGAGAAGGCAGGAAAAATGGAACAAGTGTTTTGTAGGAATAATCTTCATTTTTTTGCTTCTGGATAATATTTTGTCAGATTGAAAGAGATACCGTTATTTATAGGCCGATGGGTGATGACGTGGATATATATATTTGAATACATGACTCGAGAATAATATTTAGAAATTATTTAATCATGTTATGGGAGTAAATTTTATAAACAGAAAAGTGTTTTTTTATTTTTTGGGTAAATTTGCAAGAGAAAAATGTAAAAATGTTTTTGAAATTACTTAAATATCTTAAACAAATTTTCTTACGTGCTTATTTATTAAGTGTACTGTATCTACCGCTTATCTAATTATTTTAATTGTACATTTTAAATTATATCATACTTTTATCGACTTAGAACTAAAAATTTTATTTTTGAAGTTATAATTTTGTGTAGTCCCATGTTAGAAGCAAAAATTAAATTTTAAAACAAGATTGAATATATATAAGTAATGCCTTTTAAATTGAGTTTATAGTTTAAGTTTTGTAACTAATAATTAAGAAAATCAATTTTTTAATATACTAAATTAATGTAAGAGTGTGTCATTGAAATCACTTTGGGAGAAAATAATCTTAAGTTAAGCATCATACCATAAAATCAAAAAGATAGAACTTTAAAACACTTGCTCCCTCTTAATTTCCCATTTTTTTACTTGAAATTTGTTCTAGACTAGATTAATTGTCCTTCTTTGTAAACAAAATTTT